GGGTCGCATGAGGGTGGTTGGGGGATTCGAGTTGGGGGGGGGTATGTACAGGTGCATGTACTGGGACACTTATATGTATAACACGTATATATACATGCATACGGCGAACAACACATAGCACATGGATACGATGACGCTTACTCACTCATTCATTCCCTCTCTCTGTTTCTCTCTCTCCTTCTCTCTCTCTCTCTCTCTCTCCTTCTCTCTCTCTCATCTCTCTCTCTCATCTCTCTCTCTCTCTCTCTCTCTCTCTCTCTCTCTCTCTCTCTCTCTCTCTCTCTCTCTCTACCTCTCTCTCTCCCTCTCTCTCTCTTCTCTTCCTCTCCCTCAGCTCCCCTCCTCCTCCCTCCCTCCCTCACTCACTCACACACACACAACGGACAAGTACCCCCCCCCCCTCCTCCCCTACACGCACACACACCAACAGTCTTTCAATTATCTCGTAGAACATAGTGTCGACATCCATCATCATTTAAATACTGAATCACGTTGAGAACATGTTGGCGAAACTGTATACTGTAAACACGCAGATGGGAACCGTTGAGAGCATTTTTACAGTACAGGACATTTAAATAAACGATGGGGATTACTGTTATGGTTCTGTGAATGAAAACTGGACACGGAATGCTGGTTTAAGTTTCTGTTCAAAAAACTATAGCTTTAGAAAAAGAAAAAAAAAAAAGGAAAAATAGATTTCGCTGATGAGGAATTGAGTGTAAGTGAATGATATAATGTTATTTTTTTTGACGAGAGTAGATATGATAGTGATGGGAAATTTTCTTCTCCTCTCTCTCTCTCTCTCTCTCTCTCTCTCTCTCTCTCTCTCTCTCCTCTCTCCTCTCTCTCTCTCTCTCTCTCTCTCTCTCTCCTCTCTCCTCTCTCTCTCTCCTCCCTCTCTCTCTTCCTTTCCCTTTCCCTCTCATCCCCCCCTCTCTTCCCTCTCTCTCCCTCATCCCTCTCCCTCTCCTCTCCTCCATCCCTCATCTCTCCTGCTCCCATCCCTCTCCTCCCTCTCCTCGGTCTCTCTCAAAAAAAAAAAAAGAAAAAAAAAAAATTAGAAGGGTCCATTTCACCGACGAGAAACCAAGCGAGGACACCAGCGAAAGGTCTTTTAATCACGCTAAGATTAAAAAAAAAAAGGGTTGATTTTGTGGTTTTGTTCGTGTAATCGGTTAAGTGGATACAGGAGTGGATACGGGAAAGGTCTTCACGCGGTCAGGCGGCGTGGAAGTGAGGTGGGGGTGGGTGGAGGAGGGAAGGGGTGGGGGGGGGGGTTCTAACCTACCTGTAAGCGGACAGGTGGATGTTTGGGAGGGGGAGGGGGAGGAAGGGGTAGGAAGGGGGGGAAGGGGGGAGGTCTCTATCTACCTGTAGCGGACAGGTGGATTTTGGGAGGGGTTTGGGGGTAAGAGGGGAAGGGGGTGAGGTGGGGGTAGGAAGGGGGGGAAAGGGGGGTTCTCCACCTATAGTGGACAGGTGGGATCTCAGGGGGAGGGGGAAGGGGTAGAGGGGGGGTGTTTGAGCATCACTGCGAGGCGTGACTTACGGCGGGGGTGGGAGAGTTAGGGGTGGGGGTTTGGAGGGGGTGAGGGGGTCCAGTGACGTCAGACGAAGCGTAAACACACGACAAAAAAACTTCCTCGAAAAGTGTTAGCTGGGTCTGTGTGTGTGTGTGGTGTGTGTGTGTGTGGTGTGTGAGTGGGAAAAGTAAGCAAAAGGGGTGAAAAGAGAGAGAGAGAGAGAGAAGAGAGAGAGAGAGAGAGAGAGAGAAGAGAGAGAGAGAGAGAGAGAAGAGAGAGAGAGAGAGAGAGAGAGAGAGAGAGAGAGAGAGAGAGAGAGAGAGAGAGAGAGAGAGAGGAGACAGAGAACGAGAGAGAAGACAGGGAACAAAATTCCTTTTTTTTTTGTTCGTATTCAAGAAACGGAAGATCAGAACCTTTGTGGAAACGGAGCTGAATCGTGACTTTGGCGCCATTTTGGAGGCCGAGGTGTTTTTATCGTTTTATTTTTCAACTTCCCTTTCGTATTTCGTTTTGTGAGGCCAAGTTGCGTGAGGAACTTGCTGTGCGTTTTGTGTTTTGCGCGGTTTTTGGTGGGTAACGGTTTGCACGTCCAGTCGGTTTTCTTGTTATTTTTTCTGTTCTTCTCCTTTTTTTTTTTCTTCTTCCTTCTTTCTTCCCTTTCTTCTTTTCTCTTCTTCCCTTTTTCTTTTACTTTTTTTTCTTTCTTTCCTTTTCTTTATTTTCCTCCGCCTCTATATTCTACTTCATCATCACTTCTTTTTTCTTCTTCTTCCTCTTCTCTTTCTCTTCCACTTCCTCTTCCTCTTCATCTCTCATCGCCGCACATGCTAACGCGGTTTCGCCGACCTGACAAAAGTATTGCCAATATTGCGAATAACTTTCACATGATTGGCGATACATCTAGCACTTCCGGTGTTGTGGCTGACGTTACGAGGGGGATTTTGCGCGAGAACTGACATCCCGTTCGACTCCCCGCCCGTGGTCGAGGGGGGGGCGGGTGTCGAGTGGGACTCCAAACAGGTGTGTTTTGGTTCGAGTGTGAGACTTTTTTTTTTTTTTTTTTTTTTTTTTTTTTGTGTGTGTGTATTGATGGTGGATATTGGTGTTTTTTAGATTATTTGATGTGAGGTTTTCATTTTTTTGTATTAATGATGGATTTTTGGTGGATTTTTTTTAAGATGTTGATGTGAGATTTTTCATTTTTTTTGATTGTATGGGTATTTGATTGGATTTTAAGATTATTTGATGTGAGATTTTCATTTTTTTTGTTTGTTTTTTAATTGATGATAAGGATGTGAGGTTTCATAATTTGCATTAATGATTATTGGTTTAGATTATTGTGTGAGGTTTTTTTTTTTTTTTTGTTAATGATGGATTTGGATTTTTAAGATATTTGATGTGAAACTCATTTTTTTTGTATTATGGATATTGGTGGATTTTTAAGATTATTTGATGTGACTCATTTTTTTTGTGTATTGATGGATATGTCATGACCATTTTTGTTTCATCCGCCGTGGTCAAGGGGGGGGGCGGGTGTCGAGTGTGACTTCAAACAGGCTTCTTTTGGCTCGAGTGTGAAACTTTTTTTTAATGTTAGATTGGTTTATTTTTAAGATATTTGATGTGAAACTTATTTTTTGTTTATTATATGGATATGGGATTTTTAAAGATATTCATGTGAGACTTCATTTTTTTGTGTATTAATGTAGATATTTTTGGAATTTAACTTTCCTTTTTATTGTTGTGTGTGTGATGATTTAAATTATGGAATTTAAGATCGTTTGAAAAGATCATTTGTCACCCTTTTTAATCGAGTGTTGAGATTCGATAGCGAAGTTGGCGACGTCATCAGCTGGCAAAATAGCACATTGTTCCCCCGACGATGACAGGGGGGGGGAAGGGTAATGAGCCCCCCTTATCATCATCTTCATCGTCGAGTCTCGTTCCTTCCAGATCATTGTCATCTTCGGCGCCTCTTCTCGAGGCCCTTTCACCCCCTTCCAGCCAGTTCCTTGTCATGATCATTTTTTGTTTTTTTTTTTTTGGTTTAGTCTTCGAGTCATTTTTGTGAATTTTATCTTCTTGTCTCGTGTCATGGCTGTTCTCTTTCTCACCAGTCCCTTGTCATGACCTTTTTTTTGTTTAATGTTATAGTCATTTTAGAAAAATTATCTTCTAGTCCCTTGTCGTAGCTACCCCCCCCCCTTTAGCCCCTTGTCATGACATTTTTTTTTTTAATCTCCTAGTCATTTTTAGAATTTTATCTTCCAGTCCCTTGTCATGACCACTTCCCTCCCTCCATGACAATTTCCCTTCCCTTGTAATTGTTATTTTTTTTTAAATTCTAGTCATTAAAAGAATTATCTTCCAGTCTCTTGTCATGACCATTTCCCTCCCTCCAGCCCCGTTTCATTGCCATTTCCCTCCCTCCAGCCCCTTCTCATGACCATTACTCTCCCTTTAACCCTTTTTCATAACCATTTCCCTCCCTTAATGCCATGACATTTCCCTTGCAGCCCGTTTCATGACCATTTCCCTCCCAGCCCTTTTCATGACCATTTCCCTCCCCCAGCCCCTTCTCATGACCATTTCCCTCCCCCAGCCCCTTCTCATGACCATTTTCCCTCCCCCCGCCCCGACCATTTCCTTCTCATGACCATTTCCCTCCCCCAGCCCCTTCTCATGACCATTTCCCTCCCCAGCCCCTTCTCATGACCATTTCCCTCCCCAGCCCCTTCTCATGGACCATTTCCTCCCCCAGCCCCTTCTCATGACCATTTTCCCTCCCCAGCCCCTTCTCATGACCATTTCCCTCCCCCAGAACCCCCTTCTCATCCATTCTCCCATTTCCCTCCCCCAGCCCTTCTCATGACCATTTCCCTCCCCCAGCCCCTTCTCATTGGACCATTTCCCTCCCCCAGCCCCTTTCTCATGACCATTTCCCTCCCAGCCCCTTCTCATGACCATGCCCTTCTCATGACCATTTCCCTCCCCCAGCCCCTTCTCATGACCATTTCCCTCCCCCAGCCCCTTCTTCATGACCATTTCCTCTTCTCATGACCATTTCCCTCCCCCAAGCCCCTTCTCATGACCATTTCCCTCCCCCATGCCCCTTCTCCCCATTTTCATTTTCATGACCATTTCCCTCCCCCAGCCCGACATTCCCCCCCCAGCCCCTTCTCATGACCATTTCCCTCCCCAATGACCATCCTCCTTTTTCATTGTCATTTCCCTCCCTTTAGCCCCTTTCATGACCATTTCCCTCCCTTTAGCCCTTTCATGACCATTTCCCTCCCTTTAGCCCCTTTCATGACCATTTCCCTCCCTTTTTTCATGACCATTCCCTCCCTTTAACCTTTTTTCATAACCATTTCCCCCTTTTTTCATGACCATTACCCTCCCTTTAACCTTTTTTCATGACCATTTCCCTCCCTGCAGCCCCTTTCATGACCGCTTTTACCCCCGTGTCAGCAGGGGCGGAGGTGGGGATGCTTCGCCGCCCCTCCCACGCCTCCTCCGTCAGCTCCCGGGCCTCGACGTCCTCCTCCTTCTCGTCCTTCTCGTCCGCGTCCTCCTCCAAGTCGTACAAGTCGAGCGCGTCGAGGGGGAAGAAGGCAGACCGCTTCCTCGAGGCCGGTGCGACGCCCACGCCCGAGGAGGAGAAGCGGCGCCAGCAGGAGGAGGAGGAGGAACAGGAGGAGGAGGAGGAGGAGCTGGAGGAGCAAGAGGAGGAGGAGGAGGATCCAGAGCAAGGTCAGGAACAGCAGGATATTTTTCTTTTTTTCTTTCAGACGGACGAGGGTGAGCCATGTTTCGCAAATCCGGAATTCTTTACTTCGGCAAATTCAGTTTTTCGGCAAATTTTTTTTCCGGCAGAAAAGAAAAAAAAAAAAAAAGAAAAAAAGAAAGAAAAAAAACTATGCGTTTAGATCTAATTTTATGACCAAGAGCTCGATTTTTTTTTGTTCTCCAATTTCTGTTCTTGTTTTTTGTTTGACATTTTGTGCGTCATACTGTTCTTATATCCTTCTATCCATCTTTTGGATTCGTATCTATCGAGTCATACGGATTTCCCAGAATTCTCCGTTCCAAGAGCATCAATTTTCTAATATTCGCTCGCGCATCTTGTCTGTGGTCTAGATTTTTATCATTCTCTCACGGAATCTTGGCTTCATTTGATCTGCAACAGTTAGCCGCGAGATGCCGTTGCCACGCGGCCGGTGCGTCACGAAGCCTAATGAAATCTCCTGTTACAATCCCATGATTTTGTGTTATTATTATCTCTGGGAAGATTGGCGAATCTTGAGACAGATTGGTGTATATATATTTTTTGATAATAAGAGCGCGTTAATCTTGAGACAAATTGGTATATATATATATATATATATATATATATATATATATATATATATATAATAAATATATATATATATATGTATTTTTTATTATTATTATTTTGTTTATTTATTTATTTATTTTTTTAATAAGAACGCGTTTTTATGCTTTAAAATTTCTTGTATGAAAATGACGCTATTACTGTAAATTCTATTGTTGTGAGAAGAATTGTCAGTAATAAGACATTCGACGTTGTGAAAGGCGTAGCGGCAGGAAGACGAAAGACCTTAGGAGAAGAAGGAGGGAGAATAGAGAAGGAGAGTAAGGAGGAAGCATGAGGAGGGGAAAAAGAATAAGGAAAGAGAATAGTGAGGGAGAATAAGAAAGGGCAATTAGTGAGAATAAGGAACGAGAATTAGAAGCGAGAGAGACTAAGGAGAGAAAAATAAGGAAGGAGAGTGAGGAGGGAGAATAAGGAGGAAAACTAACCAGGGAGAAAGAGAATTGAGAATAGCGAGAGAGACTAAGGAGAGAAAATAAGGAAGAAGGATAGGAAAGGAGAGAAAGAAGGAAAACTAACCAGAGAGAAAGAGAATTGAGAATAACGAGGGAGCATAAGGAAGGAGGGAGATCAGGCAGATATTCTCCCAGCGTGAGGCGTCGGCACACCTTCCCGTTTTATGCTAATCACGAAGGGAGGGACTTGTTCAGAGGGACTTGTTCACGACGGCCGTTAAGGAGGATGCTGAACAGTGTTACTCATGGCTTGTACTCGTTTACTCGCGTGTCAGGACGCTCTCGTGCTCGTATTTGCGTTTTTATATTCGTTTGTGCTCATAGTTTCTTTCTCTCTTTTTCGTTTTCGATTTTCATGTTTATTCTTATTCTTACGGATAAATACATTCACTCATTCATTAATTCACTCATTCACTCACTCACTCACTCACTCACTCACTCACTCACTCACTCACTCACTCACTCACTCACTCACTCACTCACTCACTCACTCACTCACTCACTCACTCACTCACTCACTCACTCACCACACACACACACACACACACACACACACACACACACAACACACACACACACACACACACACACACACACACACACACACACACACACACATACACACCACACTTACACCCTCACAAACATCTGTGACCGCGGCAAGCAAAACACTTGATTTTACCTTAAAAGGGACGCCATTGTGATGCCCATATTTAGAGTCGTTTAGGGTTATTTCTATTATTTCGCCTCAGGTAAAAAAATAAAGAAAATATAACCCATTTAGAGCCCACATGTAGGCCATAAGTATGAGGGCGGTGTGAGGCATGAGGTATGAGGTATGAGGGAGATGGACGTATGAGAGATAAGGCCGATTCTCGCCTTATGTCCTTATTTGTAGATTGGCTTTTGTTACTTCGGGGAGACGGACTGTTTCTCAAGGCTGGTGGTGTGAGGGCGTGACTCTGAGGGCCAGGGAAAGTACATTGGCCCTTAAGGGGGGGGGGGGTTCGTCTGTTGGGATTATTTACATTGCGTGAAGGATGGAAGAAAAAGAAGGAAAAAAAAAGAAAAGAAGGTGAAGATGGATTTGTTTGGAGGTTTTGGGGGAGGGGGGTTGGAGCTT